CAGTTAAAGAGCTAAGCAATTTTGAAAGGACAAAGATTTAAAATAGAACAATTTCTCTTGTGCAGTTTTTCCCTTTCATGACCAATTTAGCACCATTCAGGGATGCAAGCATATTTTGACACATTTAAATCAATAAGCATAATACAGCACATAAACAGAAGCAAGAAAAAATCATATGATTCTCTCAGTAGATGCATAAAAGGCCTTTGACAAAGTTCAAGGTGCATTTTTCATAAAAACCCTGATAAAATATATATAAGACCATAATTTAAACTGATAAAAGCCATTTATGAAAAATCCACTTCCATCATATTAAATGGGGAAATACCACAAAGCATTCCCACTAAAATCAGGAACAATAAATAAAGTCTACTTGCACCAATCCTGTTGAATATAGTACTCAAACATTAGCCAGAACAATCAGCTGAAAGAAATTAAAAGCACATGTAAAGGAAAGGATGCAGTCAAACTAGCCTTATTCATCATTAACATAATCCTTTACACTGAAAACCAAAAAAGCTCCACTAAAAGAGTCCTTTGAACTAATAAGTAAATTCAACAAAATGGCAGGACAAAAAATCGATACTAAAAAGTCAATAATGTTCCTGTATAGCAACAATGAACTCACTGAGAAAGAAAGAAGGAAAACCACCACATTCACAGTAGCTTTAGAACAATTAGATTCAGGAATTATCATAATCAGGAAGTTAAAGATCTGTATAATTCTAAATAGTGTAAAGAGCAAAATAGAAGACTGTAGGAAGCAAAGAAATAGGTGTAGAAATGAGAAGGAATATGGAGATGGGAAGAGAGAGGAAGTAGGGAAGAGAAAGAGAAAGTAAAATGATCAAGATTTTATATATATATATATATATATATACACACAAATTCCTCATGATGAATGTATTTAGCATGTATGACAAACAAATACCAATAATTTTTAAAAAGGTGTCTTTAATTTTTTAAATTAAATAAAAATAGAGACATGTAAGATTGATCAAACAAGTAATTATTAACTGTTCCTTTCAGTAAAGCAATAGAAGACAGTAGTACAACAATGTTAGCTATCCTGTGTATACATACATA